CCGGCTGGAGCCGCGCCGGGAGTCACGGGTCCCTGCTCCCTTATCTGATCCCGGGCCGCGGGCAGCGAGCCCAGCCCTGGCCCTGGTCCTGTCCCTGACACTGCAGTGCCTGGGGGGGCTGCGTGCCGGGGGACAGCACTCTGTTCCCCCGCAGGTCCCTCCCCATCACCCCGCTCTCTCTGCGGCTCCGTGTCCACCACCCAGCACTGCTTGGCCCTTGTGTCGTGTCGTGCTGTGGTGCGGCGCTGCCTGGGGGTCAGCCCCACAGTGGGGCAGCGACCCGGCCCCCACGCCTGCCAGTGCTCACGCCGGAGCCGTGCATGCCACAGCGGAGCAGTGGGTGCTCACACCGGACTCGTGTGTGCCATGCCAGTGCGGTGGGCGCTCACGCTGGTGAGGTGCGTTCTCATGCTGGAGCTGTGTGTGCTCACACTGGAGCCGTGGGTGCTCACACCGGAGCTGCGTGTGCTCACACTGGAGTGCTGGGTGCTCACACCGGAGCTGTGGGTGCTCACACCGGAGCCGTGGGTGCTCACACCGGAGCCGTGGGTGCTCACGCTGGCGCGGTGCACACTCACACCAGCCTGGTGCATGCTGCAGGAGGCCAGGGCCGAGGCTGGGCGCTGCCCAGCACAGAGGAGACAGCCCGGCGAGGCGCAACCCAGGGCCCGGCACCACGGTTGGGGTGAACACCAGAAGCTGCCCCAGAAGCACCAACACGGGCAGGGCTGTGCCGGGACGGGACGGTCCCTGTGACCCGTGAGCGGGGCTGGGGCCGGTCGTGCTGCCGGACTGACGCTGCACCCCAGCACAGCCCAGCTCCCCCGTGCCGGGTCAGCGGGGGGGCAGCACCCACCAGCGCCCGGGGGCTCCGGTGGTGGGGCCGGGACTGTGGGGCTCAGCTGGGCACGGGGGCTCCCGGTGCGTGAGCCCACGGCTGGTGCCAGCAGCACTTGCCGCTGGGGTGCAGAGGTGGCCCTGGGACGAGGGGCTCTGCCTGGGTGGCACTGGCTGGCGGCACCGACGGGGGCCACGGGGAACGCCCACCAGGGG